AAATTTCGATTAAGCACGGACCCGATCTAGCAAAAGTTTGTTTCTCTCCCGTTTCTTTCCCGCGGCTATTTTTTAAGCTTTTGTCCATTGACTTATCAATTGTCGTTTTATCTTCTTTCCCGACAAGTTCGTTGCTGTTTTTTCTGACGCGCGGCCCTTTTACAGATTGACGTTATCAGCTGCTCCCGAGGTTTCTGGGCGTATCTTATCTTCGCCTTTTGGCGACACAAAGTTCTTTTTTGAGATCTACCTTTTGGCTTCCCAAAAGAGAAATTCTCTTTGTTTTATAAAAAATTAAACACAAAGAACCTACAGTTATGATATTGTGGAAGTGCTTTGTTTGAGCTGTGCTTATTTGTGTAAGTACGCAATTCTATTCCTTTTGTTCTACTTGTACCAAATAATTAAGAGTCTGTTATCAATTTTTTTTGTATAGCTTTGCTGAAATTTCTGTTTTCGGTGAGGAACATCGACAGTGTGGAAATATTGGACTTTAGAAGAGGATGAGAGGCGAAGAGAAATAAGACAAAACCCGTTAAGGAATTTCTCGGCTTATTAGATAACGGATTCAGACCAACGGGCCTCTATGCAACCTTGCGTGTTTCGTAATGGTAATCATTACAACAGTCCTCAAAGGAATGCTGCAGACGTTGCCAAAAACAGTCGTTTGCAGTAAACAAGTCATCAGTAGTTAGAATTCGGATACCACTGAAAACGCTATAGAGGAACAGATTGTTCATGACCAAGGCTTTGTCGATGGTTGCGACACTCGTGTTAGGCACGTTTTTTTTATCACTCTGAATTTTCATTTGCGTGCGTGTTGCTCATCTAATTTCGAGATATTGTTTCTGCTAAAAGCTTTGTTTTTTGCCGCCTGTTCCTCTTCTCTCTAGCAGAAACAAAAACAAAAGGATCAACGGGCGGTGGGGAACTTGCTATGGCCATTGTATTTTGGCAGCATTTCTATCTGAAACTTCTTGAATTGTCACAGATTTTACAGAAGCAAAGCGATAGAAATGTTAGCACAACAGAACAACTACTGACGACGATTAAAGATATAATGACTGGTGACCACTGTGAACGAAAAGTTACGCCAATTTTACGATAATGTTCAGCAGATCACGAAGCCAAACTTCAAGTGTGCGTCGCACTCGTAATTAAAAACGGAAATTGTTGGTCCCCAAGGAATTTGTTTAATGAACTCACTCTTTCCGGTCTTAAACAGAATTTTACTTATTTGGCATTTTACCAAAATTCTAAGATTTTGTAATTTTAGTAGGGAAGTTGTGGTTATGGAAGTGATAACTGAAATTAGGTTCTCCTTAACTGCAGTATCATTCAAATTTGTCGATCTTTACCTGTTTCGTGACAACAGCTTGAAAGCCAGAAACTTTTCTAGTTTGAAGTTGCGATTGGAAATCTGTGAATGAATGTGGCCAGGAACTTGCAACTTTCTCGGCCAAAAATTTATATATTGTGATTTCCCGATACTTCGATGGAGCATCAGACAAACAGTTCTATAGATGAATATAGCGACCTACCGGCTTAATTCAAGCGGAAACTTATTTTCTAAAATCGATCATTAGGCCGAAAGTTTCGTGTTTTTAGTCAGTTTTTTTAAGCTTACCAAGGAAGGCCTTAAATCCTGCAGTGATAAGGAAGCGGTCTGCCGCGCTCTTGGCCTCTTCTGCTATGGTCACTAAGTACCAGTAGGAACTGTTCACTGGAGGTGTGTTATCTAGGGTACTTTTTAGTCTTGAAAGGCTTGTAGTTTTTGGCTTTGTCAATCTCATTTTGTTGATTAAGCCTATTATATTAATGCAAACAAAGAATGCGTACATTTTAAGCTGCACAAAAATTATATTTCTCTTGGGATCTTCCCCTTCTAGGATTTGAAGCAATGATCAGACTGTGTTTTTTTATGTTAAATGGTTTCTAAATTTATTTTTCTTTTTTGTCGTCACCTGGATAGTTACTTTTTGAAATTACCAATAGGTTCTTTGCATAGTTTTTTTGCTAGTAAGCGAGTTCAAGTTCTCTTTCTGTTTTCCCAACATTTTTAAGGTAAAAATGAATTGTATTTGAATTGTTCGTAGGTAAAGAAGAATTTCCCGAGCAATGTAACTTTGATGGAAGGCGGTGTTTAGGTCATTGTAAATCCGGATCAAATTGTTTGTTCAAAAGCGCTATAACTTGAATGCGAGATAAATATTCAGTTTATTT